TTAGTTAGTAAGATATTATTGGAGAATGAGGATATACCAGTATACCAAATTCATCTAGGAATCAGATCCAGTCTCATCCTATCTAATTTAACCTAGCAACATATGTGGGGGATTATGTTTTATGGGATCATACAGTTAACCATCACAAGTATATCCCTTAGAATAGAACATTCTGTGATACAAGCAATCTTTTATACCCCCAATCAGATTCTTGCTACTATTGGACATATGAAACTCTTACTAATAGTTATGCAACTAATATTTTAACTGTTTGTACCTTTCTTTCTGTTATCAGAAAGACCTCATTAAAATTAAATTAAATTAATTTAATTTAATTTTATCTTGTTTTTTTTTATCTCTAATTAAACTACTATTAGTATTTATTAATTTATTTATAAAAAATAATAATACAATATATAATTAAAATAATTGATATTATATTAAATCTAAACAAGTTTGTATAACAGAATATTTATTAACAAATCATTTATAGATTTTTATATAATTCTTAAATTCTTAATATTAAGATTATTATATTATCCATATAATCTAATTATTTACTAACTATTTTATTATAAGAGAATAAGTTAAATAAGTTATTACTACATAATATTAAATATTTTGGACTTTTCAAATTCTAATTTTTTAGATATAATTATAAGAAATAATAAATTCATTTCTTCTTAAATTTGAAATATCGAAACTTTTCTTTTAAGAAATTGTAATCAGTTTATATTCAAACTGTTATATCAATACAACCTTGTAATCCTAAGAGATAAAAAATTATTATTTTTTTAAGAAATAAAAAAAAAATAAAAAATGAAAAAAAAATTTATACTGATAAATAAAAACTTATTAAAATCAATTACTAGTTTAATAAAATTTTTTTTTAATCTTGAAGAAAAAAAAAACTGGTACAAAAGAAAAAAAAAGACTTTAAGTCACTTTTACTAAAAGAATATCTCAATATCTTATTCTTTTGTTATATCCAATTGTATTATCAATTTTTATATAGTATTGTTATGATAAAATTATAGTGAGTCAGTTACTTTGATTTGGCTTATACCATATAATATAAGAGTTGTATTCTGTTCAAAAGAGAATATTAATACAGATTAATCCATTGATCTTACATTTTATAGTTACTTTATGAGTAATAATTCCATTAGTTACATTATACTTGGATTAAGTCACAAAATAAAATTTATTAATAAAATATAGTTTATTAACTATTGATTGTACAATACTTATCCTAATTGTTTTTATTTTTTGACTATTCCCAAGTTTTTTATATATATTTTGACTTTATATCTATTATATACATATATTATTTCTAATATACTATTTATACCTGATATATTATTTATACTTGATATATTATATATATTTAATATACTTACTCTTATAATTTTCTATTATTTATCTATTATATTTTTCTTATAACAGTACAATATATAGTATATAAGGATATGTATTTTGTTTATTTTTTTTTTATGTATTAATTAACCAATTCAAAATTTCAATCAATTATCAATTAAAATTTTTAATATAACAAAAAATTCAAAATCAAATTAAGATAGATAAAATTTCTCAAAAAAATCAAAAAAATTTTAATATATTTAAAAATAGGACTTCTAATAATATTACTTTGATATCTGTTTGATACTATACTTCAATATTTAAATTTATTATAAATTCATATAAGTAGATCATAATTCATATATTAAATTTATTATAGATTAGTATCATTTTGATATTACTTTGGTATCAGTTTGATATTTTTTAGAGCCTTACTTGAAAATATTATCACAAATATATATAATTGATAAAAAAGATTATATATTTAAGTAAGTAAACTTTTATTAGCTTATTTATTTGTTTTAATCTAAGATGTTTACTTATAATAGATCTTATAGAATTTAAGAAATATATTCATTAATAGTTTACTTTTTAGAGTTTTAGATCTAAGAAAAGTATAATAGATGATATTTTTTTAATAAGTTTCTTCTTTTCAATAAAATATTTTTATTATAAATCAAATAGATAAAGTTTTATTTATTTTGTTATTAAAATATATAAAGTTTTTTGAAGAAGAAAAATTAGATAAGTAAAAGAAATACCAGTTTTCAAGAAATAAATATTAAAGAAATCATATAAACTAGAGTTTTGAAAAGTATTGAACTGATATCGAAGTGGTATTGAAATGGTACTGATCTATAGTAAATTTAATATATGGATTGTGATCCACTCATATGAATTTATAGTAAATTTAAGTATCAAACTGGTATCGAACTGGTATCAAAGTGATATCATTAGGAGCTTTAGATAAAATTACTAAGTAATATATAGTAAATAATTGAAATTCGTATTTAATTCAGAATCGTATTGTCGATTAAATTTCCTTTTATAGTAATATAACCACATGTATGATCTATACACATCCAACAATCAATCAAATTTTTTCATATCTTAACTAAAAACAATATCTTTTCAAATCCATTTATAACCAGTTCTCATAACAAAATTCACACATATTCACAATAATAACAATAACAGCCACAACAATAATAATAACAATAACAATAAACTAATAACTTATCAGATTGGGAGAGCACATAATCTGTATTCTGTATAGGTTCTAGTAATCTTCAACTTAATATATATCCAAAACATAATAAGTAATTGGAACTGACTCCAGTTATTCAACTTACTTTAATATAGTCATATTACATAACATCTAACTACACAAACCTATTTATTATCTTCAACAATAGAGTTGCATCCCACAAGCAGCATGCTATCGTTAAAGAAAAAAGGTAGCTAAAGCCTAATCAATATAAATAAGAGCAATCTTATTTTGAATGAAAGTAAAATATCAGAAAGTTGTGTCCCATAATCTGATAACCTATGTTAATGCTCTGCTACTGCTATTGAAGTTGTATCCAACTGTCGAAAAGGAAGTCTCGAACCTAGATAGATATATTAAATCTGTGCCCTGTGGAAGGAATTGTTAAACAAAAGATAATATTATTTTAAACCTTATTATATATTATTACTTCAATGTCTTTCTCATTATAAACACAAACTTATGCCTTATATGATATGATAAGAGTAACATATCAAGACATATAAATGATTTTATAACTATTCTCTCTACTAATCAAACTTTTATATTCTTTTCAAATTTTTCCATAATGATGATTCTGCTCAAAATGTTTTTTTATTTTTTTATTTTTTTAATAGGTAATTTCTCATGTTTTCTTTGCTCAAAGGTTTTTTAAATAATATATCTATCTACAATAGCAGGCCAATATATAGTCATCTATTTTATTTTTTTTGATTTTGTATAAAATGTATTATATTAATTATTTGTTATTAATAAAGTATGAAGAAGGCTTTACTTAGTATTAAAAAAAAATCTTAAGGAAAAATATTATAGTTAATAATAATAATAAAAACTAGTAATATATTATATCAGTAATATTTTTTAAAAATCAATTATAATAATTAATTAAAATAATTGAAATTGATTTTTATAATTTTTTTATATATAAGGTTTACTTAATATATAAATTTATTTTATAATATTTAAATTATAATAATTAGATATATTATAATTATAAACAAGATATTATGATTAAAAATAATTTAATAAATAATATTAATTCTTATTTAAAATGAAGTAAAATATTTAATATAATAGTTTTAATTAATATATTAATAAAATATTTTATATCTAAATATCTATTTATAATTCAAAAAAAATAAATAGATAAAATTTATCTTTAATAATTTTATTTGATTTTTTTCTGTAATTAAATAATTTATATTGTTTATTAAATTTATAAAAGACAAATAATTTATATTTTTTATAAAGTATAAAATTTGATTATTATTTTTATATAAAAAAATATTTTAATTATAAATCTTAAATAAATAGTTATAGTTATTTATTTTAATTTATTTTTTTTTCTTTATAATAGATTTTAATTATATTATAAAATATTTGAAATATTGTTTATTTAAAAAAATAATTATTTAAAAAATATAATACTTTTTAATAATTTTGATAAAAAAAAATTAATTTTGAATAAAAATTTTGTATTAAATTTAAATAAGTTTTTTAAGGTTCTTATTAATTTGATACTTTTTTAATTTTGTAATTTAATTAAAATAATTTTTTATATAAATAAGATAATTAAATAATCAAATAATATTATTGTTTAAAATTATTGATTTTTTTAAGCTGTTTGATTCATCCATATAATGTTTTTAAGAAATATCCAATTGATTTTTGAAGAGTTATGACTATATAAAATTTATTTTTCAAATGTTTTAATTAACTATTATTTCTTAATAATTGTGATCGTATATAATATTTATATGGATAAACTATTAATTATTTTACATATAGTATTTATTATATAAAAATCATTTATATAATATTTAATAATGATATTAGCAAAATTTTCAAAAAAATATATAGATTTGTTTTTTCTGTTAAAACTATATAAGTCTTCTTATTTGACATGTGAATCTATTTGCTTGATGCAAGTTTATATAATCAAGTATGTTTAAATTGTAATTTAAGCAAGTTATTAGTTAGAAACAATAAATTATTTTCAAGAAATTATTATTATTATTATTTGTATACATTAATTTATTTCTTCTACATTGGTTTTATAAGATTATGCTTTAATTAATGTTGATTGATTAAAAATATAAAAAATTAAAATTATTTTAAACTTCCGTTTTTAATATAAATGTGATAAAGAATTAAAGAAATTATCAAATACTGTATACAGTGTATCTATTTATGTTAGAAGAAGATAATAAAAATAATATCTTGCGTTCTGCAAATTTTGAAAGAATCAACGGTTTAGTTCAAAATTCCGTTAGTTCACGACCAAGTCCGGAGTAAATTGATTTTTTTTTTTGATCAACACTAACGATAATAAAATATAAGATAATCAAAGTCACAAAAATTCGTGTTACGTGAGATGGATATAAAAGCATTGATAAGAATTTACCCATTTTATCTAAGAATGAATCTATCAAGCCTCGGTATGGAATTTCTATCAAATATAATATTTTGGAGATAGATTTACAATTAAAAAAAAAATATTTGTTCGACAGAGCACGTCGATTCGCAACCAGAAAACAGATTCTCTTCTTTAGTAAATGGACAGCGTATTGCAATTGTGCCAGAATTCACACTAGAATCCGGATATACTCTGCGCAGAGTTCCAGTGGCTTATAAGACATGGGGAAGTCTTAACGAAAGCAGAGATAATGTAATGGTGATATGTCATGCTCTCAGTGGTAGTGCGGATGTTGCAGATTGGTAATTTGGATAAATTAATTACGATTAATTTTCGAGTTGAATAAATTCGTCGTTCTTCATATTCTGTAATTTTTTCAATAAGGTGGGGACCATTGATCGGGAAGGGAAAGGCATTTGATCCAACAAAATTTTTTATCTTCTGTGCAAATACACTTGGTTCACCATATGGAACCGCTTCTCCGGTAACCCTTAATCCTGAAACAGGGTCGATATACGGTCCCGAATTCCCCTTAACTACACCTCGAGATGACGTAAGGTATTTGTTATTAGGTGTGAAGTGTCTTTAAAGGAGATATTCATGATATGTGTATTTTTCGTTCGACGAACAAAAGGCTTCACAGGATTGTTCTCGATAGTATGAACGTAAAAAAAGTAGCAATATGCATTGGTGGATCCATGGGCGGTATGCAAGCATTGGAGTGGTCATTCTTTGGGCTCGATTATGTTAAAACTATTGCACCAATTGCTACCTCGGCGAGGTTGTCAGCTTGGTGTATAAGCTGGAATGAAGCTCAAAGACAATCTATTTACAGCGATCATCAATATTGTAAGTAATTTTCTTTAACAATTATGGTTTTTTTACAGTAACTTTTATTTAGTTCAATGGAATTTCTAATTCTAGTCTATTTTTAGGTGATGGGTATTACAAAGCAGACGAGGTATTTCTTGAAACATTTGCTAGTTAATTTATCAAATTGGGCATTTCTTATTGCTTTACTCGTCTTTATATAGACTCCCGACACAGGCCTTGCGGCGGCTCGCATGTCGGCACTTTTAACGTATCGCTCTCGAGATTCCTTTGAATCACGATTTAGTCGTAAGCTTCAGGAGCCAAAAAAATTGCAGGGCGTTAATGGCTATAAATCAACACCGGCTGAGAAGGCCTTGCTTATTCATAATGAAGGTCATAAAAGTAAAAATAATGAGCATCTACGTTCAAAAAGGCAAGGAAATCATATTGACAATAACGAGTCACGTGAAGAAAATCACTTGACATCAGCTATACCGCATACATTTTCTGCACAGTCATACCTCCGATATCAAGGTGACAAATTTGTGAAAAGATTTGATGCTAATTGTTACATTAGTCTCACTCGTAAGATGGATAGTCATGATATATCGAAGGGTAGAGGAAGTGTAGAGGATGTATTGAGGAGTATTAAGCAACCCACATGTGTGTTTGGTGAGTGTTACCAAAACATAGACATTTTACGCGATATTGTAACAGCGTAACATATAACTTCTTTATTTAATAAAGGGATTGAATCAGATGGTCTCTTCACGATTTCGGAACAATATGAATTAGCGGAACACATTCCGATTTCTAAGATGATCACCATTGCTTCGCCGGACGGTCATGACGGTTTTCTTCTTGAATTCGATCAGATGAATCAACACATCCTTCAATTCATTCAGGAGTGTCTGCCTGAAATCAGCGAAAAAGAACATTATGGTTTAGACGCGGTATCAATAGAGGTGGTTAAAGATAGTGTTTTTGGAGAATTAGAAGACAAGGATATGATAAAGTGGTAGAAGAACGAAAATGGTTTATCATCCATCTTAAATTTATACCCATATTATTAAAGCTGTGTTTACATTGAAAGTGTGAATGAATGAATGATTTGAAATGAATCGTTAATTTTCCTAATTTCTGCGCAACTTCGGAATCCATTTACGAAGGAATTCATTTCTCGGTTGGCAACTTTTTACGTTTATATTTATTTCATCATGGCATTTATGGATGTGAAAATCTGCCAAACCTATTCAAAAACGTTGATATGAATTTCTACCACACCAAGTATGCAAGTATGCGTTTACATGAGTTAGAAGTTCCTTGTGGTGTGAGAAAGCAATGATGGAGAATAAGAGAATTCGCGGCGAAAAAAGAAATTATTCGACATTTTCAATTTTCACTTTTGTTCCCCTTGTAAAATTGACATCCTCATTTGGACTGGTCCTTTTTTGGTTATCGAAATTACTGTAATTAAACAAAGGGACGTATTGAACTTTTCGCAATTTCTTCTTCGCTTTTGATCTGGTGCTAACGTCAAGAACGAAAAAACTATTTTATATTGATTATTATTCACGCATGTTATATTGGTAAAAACTTTCTTTTACGCACCTGATGTCTGTGTTTTTTCTTGCCTTCACCCATCGCAAACAGATGTCGACGTGCGAATTGACACGCAGCAGTGTGGGATTATTAAAATTTTTTTGACAAACTGGACAGTCCCAATTTGTGTTAAGTCGAGTATTATCATCAGAAT